TATTTCAATAGGCACTTCAGTCTATAGCCAATTCATAAATTGCATACCTTTTTTTTTATTAGGTTACATAAAATGATAGATTTTGTGTTAGCACTGATGGTTTTGCAAATATGTAATCATTAGCTAATCGATCCTGCCTCGTTACTTTTCCAGTTACTATATACCCTTTATCTTCCAAAAATGTTCTTACACCATCGTCACCTTCTTTTACATGGAAAAATTCTACTGATAAAGTCTATAACAAAAAAATATAAGTCAATTTTTCTTATTATGCATAATAGTTATACTAATAACATTAAGACAATGCTACATCCGCATGTATTGTATGTATCTGTTGTTTCAAATATACAATAAAAAAAACTGTTTTGTGCAGAAAAGAAACAAGAAGGCATAAACAAWGAAACAAAATTTTCACCACTTAAAAAGGAGAACTTTGGCTGKGAAATGTTGTTTTTAATTTTTAAATACCAAAACTAAAAAAGAGTTATTCAAGTTGGAAAAACACAAAAAATAATGTATTTTGAAACAATAAGAACTTTTTTTGTTTAAGTGATAGAATAAAAACAATATTTTACAAATKATGTTTTCAAATATATGCCACCTTAGTTTGTACTCTTATCTACTACAACTGCCTGAGTGATTCTGTTCCTTACAATCCAATTTATGTCGTGTTTTACATTTGTAAAGCAAAAACCACACAATATGCAGGTGTAGCATCTACCTAATACTGAACTTACTCTTATATCGATCTTATCAAATGGAATAGTTTTTAATACATTCAATTCTGAWCCTTCGACATCTAAGCTGAAATAATCTATGACTGTTACATTTAATGCTAAYAGATATGTATAGAATGGAAAACATTGTACATTAACAACAGATGACTTTTTTTYCCCAAAATCATTGGATATTACTTCGTCTTCTACAACCTCATCATTTGCTATTCGACCCATATTACTACGTTGAAGAAAAGAAACCTAAGAAAACAAAATAACACAAGTGTATCTATTTAAGATAAAATACAATAACCATTTATCACAAAATAAAATTATTATTATTATTAATACATCAACTTATAGTTACTAAATTTCAATATTATATACAAAATATCAATTTGTTAAAACTTACGATTTCAGGATAAGGATTGACACTAAGACAAGTAGGTGATAAATATGCTCTACGRCCCTTGTTTAACATTTTCACAAAATTTAAAGGATCTGCTTCAATAAGCAATCCCGTCCAACCATAATAACGTTCAAAGTATAATGTATTAGATCTTGTTTCACCATCCAAAGCTCCGCATTCAATAAAAAAACCTCCTTTCTAAAATTAAAATTAACTATTAATAACCATTCAAATTTTTTATATTCATGTGTTATTACTGTATAATCGATGATCTTGGTTATTTCAGCAGCTTGTCCCATAGATGGATCTCTTAACGACATGTCATTTAAATTATAACGATTTCTACGGCCTTTATTTTCTTCAATAGGTTTGACTAGGTATTTCTCTCGTAATTTTCTCACAAGATCTGTGTTATCCATGGATACTTTTGGACCGTTCAAATCAYTATCTACAAATATTAAGAACTATAAATAAAGATAGTAGGTACTGAATAGATTTATTCAACCATAAGATTTCATCTTGAGTTTAATAACATTAATTGCAGGCAACTTTGTTATCAATTTGTTTTCTTACCATTAGGATATTTGTAAAAAATCTTGAATATTTCTGAAAAATGAAAAAGGTTATATATAATCAACTAGTGGATTTCTACTCGATRTTGATGTTTTTTTAACTACCGTCATATTGCTTCACATCGATTTCTGTTCCACTGTTCTTGGATGTCAAGATATTAAACAAGCAAACTATGAGTAGAGCCAGCACCAAATAYAAACACAATTTTTTAGTCATTCGTTTCATCATGACTATAATTTGTTAACTTATCCTTCTGGTCACTTGACTTCAACCACATAAAATGTTCCTAAAGGTGAAAATTCCACTACCATGCCGGAGTTTTATGAAATATTATAACACTGAAGTTCATAAGTCGATACTGATGAAATAAAAACGGTTAATCTGACGGTGGTCAATTTGCTAGCTGAGCGCCGTGAGACTGTGCAGGAAATTGAATACTATTTTATAGATGAAATATGAAAAAGAATATAACTATGAAAATACTTCATTTTTAAGAAGAAAAAGAATAATATGTATAAAATTATTTCGTAGAAAAATAAAATATTAATAATAATCAGTAATCACTGTATAGGTCATAACTCATAAGTGATAACAATTTTGTTAACGGCACGGACTAATAGCATTTTCACCACACTGCACTGACTGTACCGGTGCAATTTTTATGTTTTATCGGCATGATTAATAATTAATATATACAGAGTGGACTTTTTTATGTTTCACCTCAATGCACTACGCCAGATTTTTGCACTCGGTGCATTCAGCATTGATATTTGATAATTGGACGAGCAGGCTACWGGAGCTTGCTCGTGCATCTTATCATTATCATGATAAGTATTAAGTACCACAATAATCATTAATCATTAAATATTTTATTATCTTTATATATCAGTGATAAGGGTAGATTTTATGTTTTATCCAGGGACTAAGATATATTTCTATATATATTATATATAATATATTATTATTATATTAGAATTATATTATATTATAATTATTATCTAAACATAATATTTTTTTAAGTATTTTGATTCATAAAAATCGAATTTTGGACGAGTAGTGTATGAGTTTTAAATATTTAAAGTTTAGATTGGCAGAGTGGAGTGGTACGGGGTTATCCCGCAAAATGTTTGTTCACTACTCTGCTTGTCTAAACTTTAAATACTTATAAGTTATAACTCATAAACTACTCGTCCTAAATTCGATTTTTATGAATCAAAATATTTAGAAAAATATACTGCTTTGGAATATGAAATTAAAACTATGTTGTCATTAAAAAAAGAAAAAAACTTAAAAAATGATAAGGATAAAAAATATTTAAAAAATATTATTTTTTAATAAAAAAAGTTGGTTTTTTAATAACTTGAAACTTTGTAAAAAAATATTTTTAAAAAGTCAATACTTTTTTAAATAATGAGTGTTCTTTGATAAATCAATCACCCTGTATATATTTTATATATTATATACATATATATATATATATATACATCCATATATTAGTCCGTGATTTCATCTATTCAAGGTAATTAGAAACTAATCTATAAACCTTGTCATCAGCCTGCTATTATACACCGTCCAGCCTGCAATAGGACGATTATCAGGAACTGTACCAGACCAGTGGGCAGTGACACCTTGGTGCAATAGTGCGGTATGGTCATTGATTAAATATACATATGTATTAAATATTAATATTATTGTATATTTAATCAATATTCAATGGTCGAATTATGTATTGTAAATCACTGACTTCCACGGATTAAGATATCCGTGCTGACTTCTTATACCAGCTAGATAAGGTACCCTAATCAAGGTGCAGTCATGAGAGTAATCCATGGCTTAAGATAGGTTACGAAACTACCTATTATAAGTTATAAGTGTTATAACTACACAACAGAAATGATGCCCAAAGATTCTCGCATATAAACAGCTGATGGTTTGTGTGAGAATAGTAGCTATATAGCGTTCTTACGGCCAAAAAC